GTTCCACTGGGCCCTATAGGACATACTACACAAGGCCACTCTACCAAATCCAAGAGACTTAGTAGCTCTACCTAATACATAGAAACACAGGGAAGCAGTCAAAATGTGGAGACAAAGAAACATGTCACAAATGAAGGAACAAAAGAAATCTCTAAAAAAAGAACTAAATAAAATGGAATCAAGCAAAGTACTAGATACAGAGTTCAAAACAATGGTAATAAGATTGCTCAAGGATCCGTTTTTTGTTTTTAAAAAATATGTTTTATTGATTTTTTTTAGAGAGAGAGGAAGAAAGTGGGATAGAGAGATAGGAACATTGATGAGAGAGGAGCATCATCAACCAGCTGCCTCCCAACCAGGGCCTGACTGGGGAGGAGCCTGCAAGCTGGGCATGTGCCCTCAATGGGAATTAAACCTGGGATCCTTCAGTCTGTGGCCCAACACTCTGTCCACTGAACCAAACCAGCTAGGGCAACTTGGTGCAATTTTTATGTTGATCATAACATCTAAGCCATGCTGACGGTTAGGGGAATATACAGGGTGCTCTCATGCGCTGTGAATTTGGGACACTACAGGTGCTTCCACAGCTAACAGGTTACCCATAAGTAGCATTGACTTGTCCCCCCTCCCTCATGGTTTCTTTATTGCTTGTTCATCTTCTCTCTAGCATTTACAAATCCGATGCTCCATTATTACCTGCTGTAGCTCGAAAAGTTTTAGCTGGTGCTGACCTGTTGGGAAAACTGAAATTGGGGATTACCTGTGAAATTTGTACTTCCAATGCTCACCATGTCCCAGAACAGCATTTTGCATTTTTCTTATTGCCTATTCAGTATAATTGTTCACATTCCCTGAGCACACACTGCCCACTCCTAACCACTGCCAAGTCTTCAGGTTATTTACATTTAACTTTCTGGGTTAATGGCAGGAGTTCTCTTGAAAATAGTGGGTAGTGGAGACAGTGCTGGAGCATGCTCTTAATGCATGAGCCCAGTGTTAACTTTCAGGAATTGCACTAGTTTTGTTGTTGTTTTAATTCTTTATTGTTTAAAGTATTACATGTGTCTCCTTTTCCCCTGCCATTGACCTCTCTCTGATCACTTCCACCCCCCAAGATTAT